TAGCAAAATATACAGTGGGGCAAAAAAGTATTTAGTCAGCTACCAATTGTGCAAGTTCTCCCACTTAAAAAGATGAGAGAGGCCTGTAATTGGCATCATAGGTAGACCTCAACTATGAGAGACAAAATGAGAAAAAAAAATCCAGACAATCACATTGGCTGATTTGGAAAGAATTTATTTGCAAATTATGGTGGAAAATCAGTATTTGGTCACCTACAAACAAGCAAGATTTCTGGCTCTCACAGACCTGTACCTTCTTCTTTAAGAGGCTCCTCTGTCCTGCACTCATTACCTGTATCAATGGCACCTGTTTGAACTTGTTATCAGTATAAAAGACACCTGTCCACAACCTCAAACAGTCACACTCCAAACTCCACTATGGTGAAGACCAAAGAGCTGTCGAAGGGCACCAGAAACAAAATTGTAGACCTGCACCAGGCTGGGAAGACTAAATCTGCAATAGGCAAGCAGTTTGGTGTGAATAAATCAACTGTGGGAGCAATAATTAGAAAATGGAAGACATACAAGACCACTGATAATCTCCCTCGATCTGGGGCTCCACGCAAGATCTCACCCCGTGGGGTCAAAATGATAACAAGAACGGTGAGCAAAAATTCCAGGACCACACAGGGGGGGGCGGGGGGGCGGGGACCTAGTGAATGACCTGCAGAGAGCTGGGATCAACGTAACAAAGGCTACCATCAGTAACACACTACACCGCCAGGGACTCAGATACTGCAGTGCCAGACGTGTCCCCCTGCTTAAGCCAGTACATGTCCGGGCCCGTCTGAAGTTTGCTAGAGAGCATTTGGATGATCCAGAAGAGGATTGGGAGAATGTCATATGGTCAGATGAAACCAAAATAGAACTGTTTGGTAGAAGCACAACTTGTCGTGTTTGGAGGAGAGAGAATGCTGAGTTGCATCCAAAGAACACCATACCTACTGTGAAGCATGGGGGTCGCAACATCATGCTTTGGGGCTGTTTCTCTGCAAAGGGACCAGGACGACTGATCCATGTACAGGACAGAATGAATGGGGCCATGTATCATGAGATTTTGAGTGCAAACCTCCTTCCATCAGCAAGGCATTGAAGATGAAACGTGACTGGGTCTTCCAACATGACAATGATCCCAAACATACCGCCCGGGCAACGAAGGAGTGGCTTTGTAAGAAGCATTTCAAGGTCCTGGAGTGGCCTAGCCAGTCTCCAGATCTCAACCCCATAGAAAACCTTTGGAGGGAGTTGAAAGTCTGTGTTGCCCAGCGACAGCCCCAAAACATCACTGCTCTAGAGGAGATCTGCATGGAGGAATGGGCCAACATACCAGCAACAGTGTGTGCCAACCTTGTGAAGACTTACAGGAAACATTTGACCTCTGTCATTGCCAACAAAGGATATATAACAAAGTATTGAGATGAACTTTTCATATTGACCAAATACTTATTTTCCACCATAATTTGCAAATAAATTCTTTCCAAATCAGCCAATGTGATTGTCTGGATTTTTTTTCTCATTTTGTCTCTCATAGTTGAGGTCTACCTATGATGCCAATTACAGGCCTCTCATCTTTTTAAGTGGGAGAACTTGCACAATTGGTGGCTGACGAAATACTTTTTTGCCCCACTGTATTTACATAGTTAGTCTGGCTGAAAATAGACAAAAGTCCATCCAGTTCAACCGTTAAGAAAAAAGTTATAATCCTGTACTACTTCTGCTCTTAGATTTTTACAGATCTCACACTGAGACATTGTCTGTTAGTTTAGTATTGGCATACATATTATACTGTATGTACAGTTAGGTCCATATATATTTGGGCACAGGCAGAATTTTAAATTTTTTCAGGTATTTACCAAAACATATTGAAGCTATAGTTATATAATGGATATGGGCTGAAAGTGCACACTCTCAGGTTTAATTTGAGGGTATAGCTATCCAAATTGGAGGAAGGGTTTAGGAATTACAGCTCTTAAGAGTAACCATCCCCCCTTTTTCAAGGGACCAAAAGTACTTGGACAATTGAATCAAAAGCTGTTTCAAGGCCAGGTGTGGGCTACTCCTTTGTTATTTCTTCATCAATTAAGCAGGTAAAAGGTCTGGAGTTGATTCTAAGTGTGGTGTTTACATTTGGAATCTATTGCTGTGAACCTACATCATGCGTTCAAAGGAGCTGTCCATGCAAGTGAAACAGGCCATTGTAAAGCTTCAATAACTAAACAAATCCATCAGAGAGATAGCAGTAACATTAGGAGTGGCCAAATCAACAGTTTGGTTACATTCTGAGGAAAGAAGAACACACTGGTGAGCTCAGCAACATAAAAAGGCATGGACGTGCACAGAAGACAACAGTGGTGGATGATCGCAGGAACCTCTCTATGGTAAAGAAAAACCCATTCACAACATCCAGACAAGTGAAGGACATTCTCCAGGAGATGGGCGTATCATTGTCAAAGTCTACAATCAAGAGAAGACTTCACAAAAGCAAATACAGAGGGTTCACCACAGTTCTGGAAAAGCATTCTTTGGACAGATGAAACTAACATTAATCTGTACCAGAATGAGGAAGAAAAGAAAAGTATGGAGAAGGCTTCGAACAACTCATGATCCAAAGCACACAACGTCATCTGTAAAACATGGTGGAGGCAATGTGATGGCATGGGCATGCATGGCTTCCAATGGCACTGGGTCCTTGGTGTTTATTGATGATGTGACAGAAGACAGAAGCAGCCGGAAGAATTCTGCAGTGTTTAGAGATATACTGTCAGCCCAGATTCAGCCAAATGCAGCAAAGTTGATTGGACGGCGCTTCACAGTACAGATGGACAATGATCCAAAACACACTGCAAAAGCAACCCATGGGCTTTTGAAGGAAAATAAGTGGAATATTCTGCAATGGCCGAGCCAATCACCTGATCTCAACCCCAGTGAGCATGCATTTCACTTGCTGAAGGCAAAACTAAAGGCAGAAAGACCCACAAACAAAGAACAACTGAAGACAGCTGCAGTTAGAGCCTGGCAAAGCAACAGAATGAAGGAAACCCAGTGTTTGGTAATGTCCATGGGTTCCAGACTTCAGACAGTCATTGCCAGTAAAGGATTTTCAACAAAATATTAAAAATCAACATTTTATTTAGGATTATATTCATTTGTCCAATTACATTTGAGCCCCTGAAAATGGATATTTATATTCAACCCCTTAAATTAAAGCTGAAAGTCTGCACTTCAAATTCATTTGATTGTTTTGTTTTAATTTATTCTGGTGGCATACAGAGCCATAAGTATGAAAATTGTGCCTGTGTCCAAATATATATGGACCTAACTGTATATAATGACTGTGTGTTTAAACTAATACTTGCATATTATGCAGTTGTTTCAATGTGTATGCACTCATGTATACATTTGTGTGCATGTACAGTTGTGCTCAAAAGTTTACATGCCCTGGCAGAAATTGTGAAATTTTGGCATTGATATTGAAAATATGACTGATCATGCCAAAAAATGCTCTTTTATTGAAGGATGATGATCATATGAAGTCATTTATTATCAAAATAGTTGTTTGGCTCCTTTTTAAATCAATGATAGCAGAAATCACCCAAATGGCCATGATCAAAAGTTTACATACCCTGGAATGTTTGGCCTTGGAACAGACACACAAGGTGACACACACGGGTTAAAATGCCAATTAGAGGTTAATGTCCCACATCTGTGGCTTTTTAAATTGCAATTATTGTCAGTGTATAAATAGTCAATGAGTTTGTTAGCTCTTTCGTGGAAGCACTGACTAGGCTAGATAATGAGCCATGGGGATCAGAAAAGAACTGTCAAAAGTCCTGCGTAACAAGGTAATGGAACTTTATAAAGATGGAAAAGGACATAAAAAGATGTCCAAAGCCTTGAATATGCCAATCAGTACTGTTAAATCACCTATTAAGAAGTGGAAAGTTCGGGGATCTCTTGATACCAAGCCAAGGTCAGGTAGACCAAGAAAGATTGCAGCCATAACTGACAGAAGAATTGTTTGGGATTGTTATTATACAGGATTTATATAACGCCAACGGTTTTTGCTCAGCGCTTTACATTATAGTGGGAGACAATACAGTAACAATACAGTTCAGTACAAGAGGGATTTGAGGGCCCTGCTCCTTGGAGATTACAATCTAGGAGGGGTGAGTTGTACAATAGATAATAACTGTGGGGGATGGAGTGGTTGGAAGAGTAGAGGATTCCAGTATTAGCAGAGGGCAGGATAGGCTTCCCTGCAGAGATAGGTTTTCAGTGATCGCCTAAAGGTAAGTAGAGTAGGTGATAGTCTGATAGATTGGATACAAAGGGAAAGCCATAGGTAACCACAAGAAAAATACAGACTGCTCTGGAAAAAGAGAGTGTGGTTGTTTTGAAGGAGCACAATATGATGACACTTGAACATAAATGAGCTGCATGGTGGAGGTGCCAGAAAGAAGCCTTTACTGCATCATTGACACAAGAAGGCCTGGTTATGCATGTCAAGGTGTTGTCAGGCATATTGTAACTGGGCTTTTTTATGGCATTGGTGCAGTAAAAGCTTCTTTCTGGCACCTTGACCAAACAGCTAATTTATGTTCACGTATCACCATCTTTTGCCAGAGCAGCCTGTATTTCTTATGAGGTTGCCTGTGGGTTTTTCTTTGAATCCCGGACAATTCTTCTGTCAGGTATGGCTGCAATCTTTCTTTCATTTTTTGGCATGATCAGTCATATTTTCAATATCAATGCCAAAATCTCACAATTTCTGCCAGGGTGTGCAAACTTTTGAGTACAACTGTATATATGTGTGTGTGTAGGTACACAAATGTTTATGTGCAAAGTACACCAAAAGCCATTTTAAACTTTAAAAATTAAACCAAAGACAAAATTAATTGTATGCCTGTACATACTTAACCAATAAAGAGGATTTTAATCTTTTTGATCTGTTCTTTTCAAATAAAGCCAAAACTAGTATTCTAGAAGACATAACATCTCACCTTGTTTAAAATAGCTGATGAGGTTTCCTTTTTTTCCCTTTTGTTGGAAGATGGCTTTGATTTATGTTTGGAAACTTGCTTATGTTCTGTTTTGCCATCACTCACTTTCCTATTGCTCTTTTCAGGTGCACTTACTACCAGTTTCGGAGTGTTTTTTTTCTTCTTTTTCTGGGGCTGGTCATAGCTCAGATAGGATTCAAAAGACATAGTTGGTTGCTCAAAATCATCATCTAAGTCTGGGTCTTCTGGTGGAACTGAGATCTTGATGGATTTCTTTTCCTGAGATCCTTGTTCACCAGATTTTGTTTTAGTTTTATTCTTCTCTGATTTGTCTCTGTGTGCTGGCTCGTGATCCTTTTCTGACATTCTGCCTTTCTCATAGTCTATTTTTATGTTTATCAGATTTTGCTTTGTCATGATACTTCAGTTTTTTATTATCTAAAGCATCCTCAGCTTGGTTCTTTGAAACAGAGTGCCTATGTTTTTCCTTTTTATGGCTGTGCTCTCTGATCTCTGGAGATGGCAGCTTCTCTCGGCTGCTTCCAGAATAGGATGGAAAGTCATGCATTTCCTTTAAAGATGTTTTTTCTTTCTTTTTTTCTGGATTGTGACTTTTAGTCTCTGACTTGTGCTTTTCTTTATGGGATGATTTCTGCTCTTTGCTTAGTTTGTGAGGATAGTGAAGGACTCTGGATACAGTTGGTGAACTATAGGCGGGTTCAGGAGAATAACCTCTGCCATCTTCGGAATCCTCATGGTCTGAATACTGTTCCCTTCCTGATCCACTAGGAGACCTGTAACTGTCATCAAATTCATTTTCATATTCATTATGGTCTTCTTCTGGCGATGGGGATCGTGGTCTTTTCTTGGAACTGCTTTTACTGTACTCCCGCTCCTCAGGTTCAGCGGTTCTATGTAAGCAAATTTATAGAAAGGTAAATATTAATTCCACAGGTTTTATATTAAAACAGCCTTGCATTTTTTAGCTAACCAAATAGTTTTTTTCTATATAATTCAGTTTTACCTTGGAATCTCCTGAGGCACCAATTTCTTCCACTGAGCAACCAAGTTTTTTGCTAGGTCTCCTACAAACTCGTGTTTCCGCAGTCCATTAACAGTCTTTCCTATCCCAGTCTCCTACAATAAATAAAACACATAACAGACAACACTTAGGATAAAGTGCTCCTCTAAAACGTCAGTTTTATCACAGAAACATGAAGTCCCCGATTAAAGACTTTTTCTGTACTAAAATAAATATGGAAGCAGTAACTGCAAAAAAATGCTAGTTGACTGGGTGCTTCTGAAAGCTTTCTGGATTACTGCTCCAGAAAAAGACTGCAGCAAGTCTTGATCTACATACGTGTTATTGGTCACTGAAAGTATAGGATCCAGAGCATAAGCATCGCACCCAGGCAAAAAGCGATTTCAGGAGGGGTCAGCAATGCCAGTCCCCATTTTAAAAGGCAAGATGAGAAACAACTTACTTAATCAATGCAATGCTTATTATTTTACAAATGGATACATTTCATAACAAAAAAGAAGCACAACATATGAAGAACCTTACCACCAATATATCAAATGTAACAGGAAGTTCTGTTAACCTCTTCAGTGTCTTCAGAAGCTGCAAATGAAAAAAAAGGAGGTCGTTGTTACACATGTCTAGATGTTGCCAAGTGGACAGTGAATAACAAATCTCTAAATGTTATCATGAAGAAATATTGCTAGCCCATCTGTATGGAAATGGGATGGATTCAAAATTAGTCACAGGGATTCTCCAACATGATGAGTTGTTCTGCAAATAAACTGTAAAGAGTGCTTTAAGCACTTGGTCAATGATACTTGCTATCTGAACTGCCTGATTATCACTGGTAATGATGAAACTAGTCATGTTATGGGTGAAAACATACCAGGCCCATTCACACTTTGCCATCCTGGTGCGTTGTGTTAATCCACATTGTCGCAAATTGCGTTAAGGCAAAATATTCACAAAATGGGCTACCAATGCACCAGAATGGGAAAAAAAAACAATATGTTGCATGTTTTATAACACAGCATACCACAACTCATAGTAGTTTGTGACTAAGCGTTTTGGTGCACTACAACATATGTGCGTTGGCGGTGTGTTGGGTTAGTGTACAACATGCCAATAAAAATGAATGGCGTGCTAATGCATGAACTGTAAAGGTGGAAATGGCCCCTCGGGCATAGATAAACCTTACAGTTCTAGCATAACACTGGTTACACCAACACATTCCAAAGCATTTTTGCATGGCCAAAAACGTGAGTTGCATTACTGATAGACACATAAAAGAAATACATATTTTTCTATTGAATATCCTAGTGGTTGAAAGGTCTTAAACTGCGTACTAAACTGCATTTACATGTGGGCATTCCCCTGTGGCATGTTATCATTCTGTGATATGCATAATGCCTGGAAACTACATCTCCCTCACTTACTGTGACCATGGTTGTAGCTAGATCCCAAGCTCAGAGGGGTAATGTTGGTCATCTCTAAGATTAAAGCACATCTAACTCCACCCCCAAAAAAAAAAAACATAATGCATTGCAATAAATAATTTCTTTGCTATGGTGGCTATATTATTTTTCTGTCTTTCAGGATATTTATTTCCTTTAGTTTCACGTGGCGATTCAGCCAATAACATACACTGTCCTAGGGCAACAATCACTCACTGCCCCGATTCTATGGAGGAGCAGCACTGCAACCGTAGCACCACACTGCTCTCTTGATTTGAAATATGCATGGTCCTCTCCTCATCACTATTACATAGAGGGGCATTGCTTTGTGGTTCACAGGAGATTGCTGAGAAAGCAGATAACATTGTTTTGAGATTTCTGTTCAGTCCACAGAAAGCTACAAGAATACTGGAATTTAGACAGGATCAATGGGCATTTTCTGTACTTGCTGGCAATGCACTTAGCCTTAAAGGATACGTTCACCAGTTAACAAAAACTAATAAATTCACATTTTTTTTGCAGGTAAATAAAAAAAAATGTGCCTTTACTATTTTCTGTTTTAGAAGCCTGGAATGCATTGCACCAGTGATCAACAGATCACTGGTGCCATGCAAGTCTCCTGCAGACTGTCAGTGTATCTGTCTGCTTGCACATCGAACGAGCAGGCAGTTTTTCACTGACAGGAAGAATCAATGAATTACCACAGCACTCAACAGCACTGTTGTAGTTCATTAAGAACTAGAAGCTGACAAAGGCTGTTGGGACTTGTAGATTCCCATTCGCAGAATTCTCTGAATGAATGACACGGCCGGTCCCTTGCAAGCTGTCACAACGGGGGAATCGGGAGGCGGTCCTACAGTAACATGTTACACCCTGAATATGGATGTAACAAAAGGTGAACTTATCCTTTAACCACTTGCCTACAGGGCACTTATACCCCCTTCCTGTCCAGGCCAATTTTCAGCTTTCAGCGCTGTCACACTTTGAATGACAATTGCGCGGTTATGCAACACTGTACCCACATGAAATTTTTATCATTTTTTTGAGACAGATAGAGCTTTCTTTTGGTGGCATTTAATCACCTCTGGGTTTTTTATTTTTTGCTAAACAAACCAAAAACAACTGTTTTTGTTATAAATTTTTTGTTATAAAATATAAATAAGTGATTTTTCTCCTTCACTGATGTGCGCTAATGAGGCTGCAGTGATGGGCACTGATAGGCTGCACTGATGGGCACTGATGAGGAGGCACTAGTAGGTGGCACTGATGGGCATTGACAGGCATCACTGATGGGCACTGAAAGGCAGCACTCATATATGGCACTGATAGGCAGCACTGATGCGCACTGATTGACAGCACTGATAGGTGGCACTGACTGGCATTGATAGGTGACACTGAAAAGCAGCTCAGATGCACTGATATGTGGTATTGATGTGCACTGGTAGGCACTGATATGTGGCATTGATGAGGCACTGGCAGGTGGCATTGATGGGCACTGACAGGTGGCACTGCTGGGGCTACACTGATCATCAGGGCACACTGATCGTCAGTGCCCTGATGATCAGTGTACATGTCCCCTCTGAGGAATGCCGATTACCGTCTCTCCTCTCCTCATGAGCTGTCAGCGTGACAGCTCATGAGGAGAGAAATGCCGATAACTGGCATTTCCCTATTTACATGTGATCAGTTGTGATTGGACACAGCTGATCACATGACCGAGCCGACGTCTTCGGCTCTTTCCGCTGATCTGCTGTGTCCGAGGGACACAGCGCACCACTGTTCGCCGCACTGCGCGCTCCCAGAGCCGCGCACGTGAGGTTAGAGTGGGAGGATGTCATATGACGTCCTCCCAGAACAAGGGAACCACCTTGCACCCGTCATTACCTTATATGGCGGGCGGGAGTCGGTTAAATGAGGAACCAATGCTGTAACCACATCTAAGGACTGGTGGGTTGCAATATATTCCTTTTTATATTATTGGATTTAGATTTACTTTAAGTGAATGAAGTGGATTGTTTATGCATTACGATCTTTTTTGGAAGCCTAGCAGGGCTGTCCAACAAGCAGCCCATGGGACCTTTTCCTCCACTACTCTTGCAGGCAACTCCCAGCTGTCAGAATAAGGGCTCATGTACACTGCAGCTGATAAACTCACGTTTAGGAGCTGTTCAGCGTTTTTTTCAGCAGCCCCTGAACTCACCCTAATGTTTTCCTATGTGTCCATGTACACTATGTAGTTTACAGGCAGTTGAGTTTACAGTCATTTTTTTATTTTTATTTTTTTTACACAGAAAACATTTAGGAGTAGATTTTATCAGCATTTTAAACACCAAATGCCTGTAAACGCGGCTAACCACGTTTATAAGTGTTTGAAATTTTTTTTTAACTCTTCCATTTCCAGATGCTGTCCAGAGCCTTTTTTCATCATGAAAAATGCATGCAAAGCATTTTCCCAGTACTCAAATGGACCTGGTACACCATACTTTGAGGTTTCGCATAAAAGAAAATATGTTAGACACTGCTGCAATAATTTCTGCACAGAAATGAGCTGGAACACATTTCTCTCAAAATGTCTGAAATAGTTAATTTTTTACTGTTTTTCAGTGCATTTTGGGCATTTTGGAAGGTCTCCTGAGGTTATCTTTAAAAAAAAGCTTCTAAAAGCAAACGGCCATATGCAAATGCAGCTAAACAGACGTTTGTTAACCTACATTTTCCAGCAGTCAGTTTCCATCATTCAGAAGTGTCCCGTGTACATGGGGCCTAACAGCTGGGACTTGCTGTGCATCACCGTAGCAGCTGCAGCCACTGCTGTGTAAGACTGAGTTTCTGAACTTTGTTCTGAACACTTCACAAGCTTCATTTGTAAATAACATGTATACTCTGCAGAAAACCTGCACCACTGCAAGCAATATAGGGGAAACACAGCCCAACGAAACAAAAGAATATCCTTTATAAAATAACATTTTTTTTTGCAGCCATAAAAATATATGAAGAAGTTATTGGAGACATTGTATATATTATAAAAGAGAACTGCAGTATTCCACTTAAACAATATTTATATACAAAGTTAAAATCAATTAAAAGAAAAACACCATGCCAATTTATCAGTACCAAAGAGCCTAATAAACCAGCATCACATGATTCAATACTCCTTCATATACTTGTGACCTGGGTCTTACCACCGCAAGATTTGTAAGAAATTGACACAAATAAGACAAAGAATAAGCAGTGTAACAATAATAAAGTGCATGTAAATCAATCCCTGCAAGTCTCAAATACAAAAACCAATATGGTGCCTCCCAGCTGAGTGAACTGCATGGTAGTACAAGTGGAGTAAAACTCCACATGTTCACAGTTGCTTGATGCTTTGTCAGGGATGACTGCATTCTTCACATGAATAACTACAGTGCTCTTTTATCATATGTATAATGTTGCTATTTTTTTTTATATACATTTTGTATAATATAAAGCAGAATTTTTTTGTAAAGGTATTCTTTTTTCAGTTAGAAACACCATGTAAGAAAGTGACTGTTACGTAGTATTTACTTTGTTTCACAAGTCATCTGTTAAAGCATCCAAAGCAGTAATACGTTCTGCTGATATTTTTAATGAATGTTTTTATTTTTTAACTATTAAGATTTAAACTTCAGCTTTTATTGCATACTTCAGCAAGACAGGAAATCTTACAGAAAGAGAATGATGATAAAAAAACTCAGAAGTACATCCAATATCACCATACAAGTAGAGCAGGATGAATCAACCAATAACATTCAAACTTTTCTACATTTTCATTTTTTTTTTTTTTTACTGCACAAATTTTTATTTGAACAACGCATATTCTCAAATGTCTTTGGTTTGCAATGGACTTTTTTGTGTGTCACTGAAAAATTTTTACATGGCTTTTTTAAGATATATGTTGCTTATGGTCAATGTTTGTACTGGCTGCACAGAAGCCTGGGAACAAGCAAGCCCAAACCCTCCCACCAGCTGCCGTCATTCTGGCAACGAAGGGCACAATGTCAGCTCTTGTCTGTGCAGTCTCTTGATTTCAGTAACCCAGCCAAGCGCATGAGAGGAATGAAGGCTCTGCTGTGACCCCAGGAAGAGTAACAGAGCCCTCCCTACCTTCCCACACTTCACTGGAATAGTGAGATTAAAGAAACTATAGTGGATCGGGGTCAATTTTTAAAACTTTTAAATATCTAACAGCTTTCTACTCTGTAAGTTATTTATTTTACAAATAAACCTTAAATGCAAGTGTGTACCACTCACAGGATATACATAGCAGGCATTGGTTTTCTAAAGAGAAAGCACAGTGGCAGTGGTTTACTTTTAGGCTTACTCTCTCTGATTGAAACTAGCGATGCCCCGAAATTTCAGCCACCAAAACATATCGTCCGAAAACAGCCCTATCGGCATTAGTTTAGCCGATACAGGTGCTGATACAGGGGACTGTGTGTACTGCAGATGTGATGGGGGGGGGGAGGGGGCGGCTAGAGAAAGGTAGGAGCGGAGCAGTGTATACAGTGACTGGCTGTCGCTATGGGGTGTATTTACTAAAGCTGGTTCACTCCAAATCTGGTGCAATGTGCATGGGAGCCAATCAGCTTCCAACCCCAGCTTGTTCAATGAAGCTTTAGCAATAAAGCTGATTGGTTTCTATGCAGAAAGTGCACCAGATTCTGTGTGAACCAGCTTTAGTAAATAAACCCCTATATGTCAATGCTGGTTTTTAAATGTAACTACCGGCTTTTTTTTTTTCTTCACTATAGCTCAGAGAATCAGCTGTCACTTTCCCCCCCAGCTAAAAGAAACAAAGTTTCCTTTTAGTTTCTTTCCCAAGATAAAATAAACAAAGTTTCCTTTTAGTTTCTTTCCTGAGATAAAAGAAACAAAGTTTACTTTAGCTCCAGGGAAAGTTACCGCCAATTCTGTGAGCTATAGTGAAGAAGAAAAAAAAAGCCGGCAATTGCACTTAAAAATCGGCACCGACGATATAGGGACAGCCAGTGAGGAAGCCTCTCTGTATACACTACTCCCTCACTGTATATACTGCTCCTCTCCTGCTCCTTCCACTACTCCTCTCCCCACCCCCTACCCCTATAAAGAGGACCTGTCACTCATATGCTATCACATAGGGGACTATTGGTGATAGCAATAAAATCATGAATTAAAAACAAATAAACAAAAATATACATGAAAGTAGAAAAAAATACAAGAAAAGAAAAAAAAAAAAAAAAAGAATTGGAGCCTCCCCACCCCCACATATGCAGACATTTTGGTTCGGTTTTCGGCCAAATGCATTCTGAATTTTCTGTTTCAGCACAAGAACTTTCATTTCCATGCACCACTAATTGAAACTGTATTTTCCATCTGAACAGAACCGACAGAAACTGGATTAGATTTTGTTGTGTTGGTTAATTAGAGCCTGAGCTATTGAATATAAAATACTTTTTTTTTTTCAGCAAAGCTGAAAAGGATAACCTGGGGGAAAAAAAAAACAGCTCAGACTGCAATACTCTCCTTTAATCAAAAGCACTGACCTGCAGTACTTCTCTTTAACCACAAGACGTTCTCAGCATCCCAGAGAGTCATTCAACCAAGAAAATGAGGACTGAGGATATATTGTCACATGATATCATGGTCCCACCCCCTAAAGGGCATCACCAAAGCAGCCTTTATTCATAGTGTATTAAAAATAGAGAGCAACACTGCCTACAACAATGCGCTCTCAACAGCCCTTGACTCACTAGCGCCTTTAACCACACGCAACATCAGACCCCGACCGCTCCAGCCCTGGCAGACTGATCACACCAAAACCCTCAAATGACAAAGTCGTGCCCTGGAGCGACTATGGCGCAAAACCAAATCCCAACAAGCCTTCACCCGCTACAAATCTGCCTTCCACACTTACACCTCCTCCCTCCATGCTGCCAAACAGGCCTACTTCTTGACCCTCATCAAGGCCCTCTCCTCCAATCCTCGCCGACTCTTCTCTGCCTTCAACTCTCTACTCTCTCCACCCCCACCTCCACCCAGCACATCACTCACTGCCCTTGAGATTGCCAATCACTTCAAAAACAAGATTGACACAATTCGCAAGGACATTGCCGCAACTCACACGCCCTCTCAACCCGTCCCCTCTCACACAGCTACCCCCTTATCCCCCCTCCCCCTCGACATAACCCGCAGGGACTTCGTCACTGCTCAAACTCTCTCCCAACCCCCCTTCACCCTCACTCAGCTACCCCCTCATCACCCCTCTCCCACGGCCCCACCACTGCTCTGACCTCCTCTTCCACCCCACCCTACATTCCTCATACTGAAGCTCCCCCCACACTCCGCACCTTTGACCTTACTACTACTCGAGGAAGTCTCCAAGATCCTCTCTGATGCCCGCCTCACCACCTGCCCCCTCGACCCTATCCCCTCACAACTCCTACGACCTCCTTCCCCCTCCATCCTACGCTCCCTCACCCACATCTTCAATCTCTCCCTCTCCTCCGGCACTTTCCCCTCCCCTCTGAAACATGCACACATCACCCCCATACTTAAAAAGCCCTCCCTGGACCCCAATGACCCGAACAACCTCAGACCCATCTCCCTGCTCCCATTTACATCTAAACTCCTCGAGCGCCTAGTCTACACCCGCCTATGCTCTCACCTCAACGACAACAACCTCCTCGATCCCCTACAGTCCGGCTTCCGTCCCCTACACTCCACCGAAACCGCCTTACTCAAACTCTCCAACGACCTGCTAACCGCCAAAGCTAATGGCCACTATTCAGTGCTCCTACTCCTTGACCTCTCTGCGGCCTTCGACACAGTCGACCACCCCCCCCTCCTCCTCAAAAAACTACACTCCCTCGGCCTCAGAGACTCTGCTCTCTCCTGGCTCTCATCCTACCTGTCACAAACGCTCCTTCAGCGTTACCTATAATGCTACCACCTCCCCCTCATTCCCCCTCTCTGTTGGGGTCCCTCAAGGCTCTGTCCTTGGGCCCCTTCTCTTCTCCATCTATACCTCCTCCCTTGGCCAACTCATACACTCTCACGGCTTCAACTACCACCTCTATGCCGACGACACACAAATCTATCTCTCAACCCCCCACCTCACCCCCTTGGTCTCAGCCCGAATCACACACCTACTGAGCGACATATCAGACTGGATGTCGCTCCACTTCCTTAAATTGAACCTCTCCAAAACCGAGTTTCTTGTCTTCCCCCCAGCCCGGACACCACCCCCCATTGACTTCTCCGTCACATCCAACAACGCTACCATCAAACCCGCCCTGCAGGCCAGAGTACTGGGTGTCATTCTGGACTCCAACCTATCCTTCCAGCCCCAAGTCCAATCTTTAACAAACTCGTGCAGACTCCACCTCCGCAACATCGCCAAAATCCGCACGTTCCTAACCCCAGAAACCACTAAACAGCTCATCCACTCT